AACGTTGAAGCGTATTCTGCGAAACGGTTATGCAGGACTGTACGATACGGATATCGGTTTCTATTAGGAGCAAATGCCAAAACCGATATTCGTTTTGTAAGCTACGGATTTTTTTTAGAGAGTAGTAGGAAATAGACAGGAAGTGCGTAGGATTTTGTCTAGGGAAAACTTTTTTCATTAGAGTCTGTTGTTGACCAATAGGAAAAAAACTAGACTGTAAAAGAAATATCAGTTTTCTATCAAATTAATAATGTATTCTAAATGAAAAGTAAAGTTTCAAGATAATTCAAGATACGCACTAATTGTAGTAGTATTTATTGTAGCTCATTTCAGACTAGAATTCATCACGTCTATTTCAATTTCAAATACTTCAGTTTACAGAGAATTATTTGCTTCTGCAAACTGAGTTCAAATTGTTGCAGTGAAAGACGATCTAGCTGTGAGAGAAGTGTATCAATAAAAAAAGGATTAGGTTTTTGAATATTAAAAAACTGAATGATGCAATTTTTTCCACTGTTAATTAAGGTTTCAGAGCTGGAAATACGTCTCCATTATTGTTATAAACATGCTCTTGTCTCTGATCATCAGCGATTACGTGACATAGAGACAAACATTTTTTATTTCCCAACACAGATATGGATTTTCTTTTGTTTTTCTAGCATATACTGACATAAATAGTTGTTTCTAAAAACCATTCTATAGTCAGTCACTCATTCTTTTATTAATGTGTATTCATTTATTCTATTTTTGTCTGATTTTATCCCTTGTATACGACACTAAAGAAACAAAAAGATTCGTATACTATAAAGTCGGGAATTATTATAGAAGATGCTCGGTGATTTTTAAAAGGTACATATATAAAATCTGTTAAACTACCCACTAGATCTCCTGTACCACATCTAAGGTTGAATCTGCTGGAGTCCTGCTCAAAGTCCCGTCTGCTAGGAAAGGTGCTTTTACAACTTCCTCTAATTCAGTCCAGTTTCTATTATTCATAGTGCCTTTTGCTTCACTGAGTTGGTGATGTTTAATTATAAAAAAAGTGAGTAGGTTCGCGCAACTAATTTCACCTGGGATATCCAATTTTGAATAGTTGAAGTAGATTCACTGTCTAGTCTACTTCCTACTCGATGCACCTCACAACATCTTAATAATGATAGCTCATTTCAAACTTGTCTCACAGCCCCGCAGTGGACATTGTTGAAATCGAGTTGGTGGTGCTCTTGTTGCTGCTGAATGATGATTGAATCTACCATCGCTCGTCCATCTGACATGATAAGTGGTGGCACCAAGTTTGCTCCACTACCGTTACGCATAAGATCCACAATTTAATCAAGTTTACGTCGACGGCTTTTTGAAACACATTCGGGTGACCCGACACGGCGAAGAAACACCGACAACTCCACATTGTTTTAACACCGTCACAGTCCACTCTTTATGATTAGGACTGTTTCTTAACATAGCAATACTACTTTATATCTTCTTAAATAACTCTGCTACAAACTTACTCCCTTTACCAAAAGCATGTTACAAAAACAATTTAATCAGTCCTATTATCACGTTTTTATTAAACGAGTTTTTGAGCAACAGGGAATTTTCGTCTGTTTGACAATTAGGTTTTGTCCATGCTCTCTTCAAAAGCGGTGATTCTCAAAACTGCAACAATTATCGGCCAATTACTCTCCTTCCTGCCTTATCCAAAGTCCTTGAACGTGTTATTTACAGACACATTTTTGGGTTTCTAAGTACAAATAACTTGATAAGTAAAAATCAGTCGGGCCTTATTCCTAATGACTCATCCGTAAATCAACTTATAGCCATAGTTTACTACATTAGCTAATAGCATTGCTTAATAACTGCAGCCGTTACTGTTTCTAATCTATATTGATGACCTACCACGTTTACTTCAGTCCCTTTTCAAACTATTTGCAGATGATATCTCGCTGTACCTTAAGGCAGATGTTTTGACTACAACTGCGTCAGTTTTGAATCAAAACTTGGAAAAAATTAGCCAGTGGTCGAAGGGATGGGCGTTGCCTCTAAACGTCAATAAGTGTGTTAGTATGCTATTCACTTGTGGAAGTATTCCGAGCCATTTACCTCCTTTGTTCATCGGTAACATTGTGCTAGAGTATGTTGGGAAGCATGTCCATTTGGGATTAACATTGACTACTACCTTGGAATGGAGATCGCATATAAATAGCCTTTATATCAGTTTGTCACATATAGTTGGATCGATGAAGTTTTTGAGTAGGCAGGTTTCTCGACAAACTCTTGACTCTGTGTATCATGCATTCGTGTTGAGTGTTTTCAACTATGGAATTGTTATTTATGGTGGTGCGGACTTACGCAATATCAATTGTCTGAACCAAATTCAATATCAGGCAGCTTTAGCTGTCTCTGGTGCTATGAGGGGTACATCACATGTGAAACTTCTTAAAGACTTAGGGTGGTTATCAATTAATGAGCTTATTTACGTTCGACGCATGTATTTGTTTCATAAAATCATGCATAGTAAAACTGCTACTTATCTTATTGAACTTTTTCCTGTGCCAGGACCCCAGGTTTATCCAACTCGAAATTTCAGTCGAGGAGACATCTTCTTGAACTTAAGAGGTCGGGCATTATTGGAGAAATCCTTTATTCGGGATGGTATTCGTGCATGGAATCTACTACCTAATGATATACGTTCAATACATAAATTGACTGATTTTAAACTCAGATTAGTCTTGCAATTTATTTCGCCCTTTCGTTTCCCGTTAATGCGTGATCGGCGGTTGGAGATACATCATACGCGATGTAGAGTTGATAACCCTCAACTAAATGAAATCTCTTTATTAGAGGTGGATTAGAAAAGTCACCGACGTGTGCATGTGGCTTTAACAGAGATACTACTAAACATTTTTTCATCGACTGTGCTCTTTACGACAAGTCTCGTAATTTTATGTTTGATCAGCTGCGTAGTGTCCTTAATGATAAACACATTACGTTGGAGCGCATACTTTGGAACATGAGTCTATCCGAGCATTGGCTAAGCACGATCTGATAGGAGTGCAGCCATAGAATGCAGTCATCCTCCAATTTATTGATACTACTCGAAGATTTAATCAGTCATGATGCACTAAACCTTCATGAGCAGGACGTCACATGGATAGAGCGGATCTCAGAATTCGATTTCCAATTCTCTCTCTCTTTTCACCAACATATAATCTTTCTTTTCTATATACTCATTCTGTTCCAGCATGTTCATCTAGAATACGACATACAATGGGATATCCCGAATTGCCGAATAAGTGTTTTTCTCTGGTAGTTGTATTTTTATTTTACTGCCTTTTTACCATTATTTACTAAATACAGGAAAAACTGTTTAAAAAAACAGAAAACAATTTATTAGACTATGTACATATGATCGATTGCTTCTTGTTCAAAAGATCAATTTTGACTAACAGCAATGAAAGTGTAACCGTTAGCGGCCACTGAGAGTGTAACATACTAAACACTATTGAAGATTGAAGCAATTTCTTCGAGAATCGCCGCAGATCAGCTAACATGTTTACCGTTAGCGTATTTTTAGTAAAAGACATGAATGTGTACGAACCTTATATCTGGCCAAGTTCTAGACATATATGTACGAGAATAAAGTATAATATCTAGAGACACTATTATCAATTAATTATCAAAAAGAGAAAATATTTACACACTATTTGGTACGCAGTTGGTCTCAGGCGGCTAATAATAAACAGTTAAATAAAATACTATGTTGTTGTTTGTATGGCGACAATTCGCTCACAGGCTTTTTAACTATAGTGGCAATTTCTTCAAGCCGTTTTGTCAGTTTCACTTTATCTTGAATATGATCAATAATTTAGATAAACCTCCATTGGTTAAAGTGAATGTGCTAGTTTTCCTCAAAACAATTTTGTGGTAAACAACTAGTTCCTATATATATAGACTCCTTTAGCGCTTGAATACTAAAAGCATTCGAAACGGTAGTACATAAAAACTTTGATTTGTACCGTTCAGTATCAATGACAATAAAGTATTTGTTTTAATACGTAAAGGTATTTTCTGATTAAATTTTGTTTTCGCATCACTTTTTCGTTACAGAAAAGCTAAAGCCTTCTAAACTTGAACTGGCGTTCACTACGCCCACAGTTCTCGACACTACCTTTTTGTAAATTTTCTCTCATATATTCTTATATATTCGGTACACTTATATAACCCGTACATGTCATCAAGAAAGTGGAGAGGCACTAAATGATTTAAACTGGCAAAACTCAATATCTAGTTATGATAATTTCACTTGGATATTGAAAACTATTCGATTTTGCACTTCGTCTGTGAAATTCCAGCAGATATTAAACAAAAATATTTCAGTCGTTATAAGATAGATAGTCAGAGATATCTCAGTTGAAAAACTATTGAATGAGACTCTATATGTTCACTTTATGTTGAGGTAAAAATTTCTGACAGTGTATTTTAGTTTAGAAAATGTATGATGTATTGGCTAGAAGCTCCATCATTCCATACAGAAACGGGTATTACATTCGACTAGAAACCGTTGACAATATTCTGAATGACTATGCTTTTTAGAGGGAAAATTCCTCTGTTATCATGTGTTATTCTCTTATTATGCATTGGACTTATTGGGTTTCTTGCGACCGTTGCTATGGTACTCTCTCTTATTCCAGTGTATTTATCACAAAATTCAGTTGCTCCTTCACGTAAGCTAAGCTTTAAGCTCATCAAAAATTATGTGTTGCATAGACTTTTTACAGCTGTATACAGCGAAATATCGATGATGAACTGGACCGTGCTTATTAACTCCGCGAATAATTCTAACGTAACGGGAGGATCTTTACTTGCGTCAACATTACAAGCCTGTCGACGAATGGTAAAAAATTAAAAAAACTATGCGTTTCTAACGCGCATACTCATCTGTTTTCTAACACTAAAGTATTAGTGGTAACACCGATTTATTTTTTTTGCATAGATTTTACAAAAGCTTCCTAACAAAATAGTTCATGACATAATTTTAATTAGTGAAATTATTACTACAGGACAACAAGGTCGAAAGCGAAGATTGTATGAACTCTGATTGTATTTTATTTTCAAACAAGAAGCAATCAGTGTTATACATTTTATATGTTTTTAGCTATAGACTCAAACGTGCGGACGACAACCTTTATTTAATAATATATTTTAAAATTATGTATCAGTTCAATTGCCATCAACCATGTCAAATGAGTGGACGAAACCTGATTGTGTCAGCTTTAGAGAAAATCACTTTTTCACTCGATGCACAAATTTTTCTCGACGGTCAGATCATTCCATGCATTCTTACCGTGCTGAGCATAACTAGTGATCCAATTGGTAAGCGCTTCAAAACTAATTAGAAACTAATCAAAATTGAAAATTTTTCATTTAGTTCCAAGTACTAGCAACACACCTGTACTGGCAACAACGGCTGTACTGGCGACAACGACTGTACTGGCAACAACAACTGAAAATCCATTGGGTAACATTCAAGTGTAATCAGCTAAACAAATTAAAAAGTACTGAATATTTCTTCATATAGCATTTCAAAGCAGCGTGTCCACTGTGACATACAATATATCAAGTGCAGAAAACATGACTGATGGCGAATTAACGAGAACAACGCTAGATGATATCAAACCGCAGGTTAGTTATATTAACAGTACTATACAGTGCATGTTCTTGGGTTATTTTCATTCAGATATTAGCTCTCCTGCCAAATATAACAGTAGCGGATCTAGACATATTAAACGGCACTTTAGAAACTGAGGGTAGAAAACGTCGAAATCTGTAAGTAGTATGAGGCATAGCAAGGTCGAATGTTAGATAGTACGCTTGCAACATCATTTATTTCAATCAACTGATCAGCTAGTGAGTAATGTGTAATACAACAGAGATAATATTTCTTTAGTGTTTTGGTGCGACGAGCAGCAAATAAAAACATGAAATTGAAAATTACTTTCGTGATTATTTATCGATACAGTTGTATCTATTCGTGCCAAGTTGATGCTGGAAATACAGCTTTAACAAATCTCGAGATACAAAGTGTTGGAATAAACTTTCCACAGCTCATGATTATACCAAAGAGTGGTGGATCTGTTCAGACTTTTTCTGTGACCATTTTGAGTGTTATTGATGTAACACCTATATGTGAGTGGTTTCTTCTCATTTAGCATATTTTATTTGACATAGTTCCGGTATTCTTTTAGTACCTAGTGTTAGTCCAGCTTCACTACCCACAACATCTCAAAGGACAAGAACGACACCGG